GAATCAAAATATAAACAAACAAAAATCAGTCTGTACACAAAATAACAGAAGGAAATGCACGATATGCGGATTTGGACGTGAATTTTTTTTCCACAAAAAACAACAGGTTGCTTCCAACCAAACACGTCTAGTGATTATGTTACCTGCAAATTTTGGTTGCTCGTCGCTGCAACCTGCAACCGCAAGCGATCGGTCGATGTGTCATCGCGTGTGCGCCCACATGCGATTTCGAAACAATTATAGAATGAGAGCGAATGGGAGCGACCAGTCGCTCAAAACCAAAACAGTTTGATTTCTTGCAACTCGTCGCAAGCGACCAGAATCGCTACGGGTTGCAGTTGCACGTTGCCGCAGACGTAGCAATTTCACAGCAATTTTTACAGCGATTCTAGAATCGCTGTCGAGTTACATGAAAAAGTCGCAGGTCTGCATGCGCTAGGCTGGCTTCCACAACTTGTCGTTCTCGCAAACGGGCTCGTTCTCACGCAAGACGTTCGTTTGCGCATTGAACCTCGTCGGACACTGCGATCTTCGTCCTGCCACCGGCGACACGTAAGCCTACGATTCCAATACAGATATTATTTTGATATTTGTTGCGCCAAAACCACCATTTAAAATTTAAAAAAAAAAATCGAAAACTGGAGGCAGGGTATTCGTGTTTTCCTTTTTGGGTAATAACATTAAATCGAATAAAATATTGGAAATAATAAGTTGCCTAATATATGCGCTTTATCAAGGAAATTAACTCCCGTCAGCATAGTACACAGGTATGCTACGGATGTACGTGTAATTAAAGGGACAGTAGCCGCTAGGATTTTACTGCATACAACTGTACTTACTGTATAACAAATCGTCTATACCCACACGTATTTGTTACCAGATACCTAATTTAATTGTTATAATTAATTACACATCAACGCTACGAAATTTGAACGGCGCCATGACACCCGCGACCGTACTGCCACCCCGAAAAAGTTGCGTATTTGACAATTTATTTTGCACGTTACAGACCGAGTGCAATTATATTTCTACCTAAATGCTATTAAACCGAACGATATTCATTTTAGGGCAAATTTATCCATATTATAACTGAAACTATATGTCGTTTATAAGATATTACAATCCTTTTGCTTTTAAATGAATAAATAAGAAACACCCTCGGTCTGTAGCCCTTGGCTGAAAAGTGTTTTTGCGCAACTTATCAGATCGTGCGCTTTGAGTGTCGCCACCGTCGTTGTAATCAAACTGTAGTCGTTAGTTTTTAAACATTTTTTTTAAATATTTTTAATGGTGATTGAACCATAAAACTTTATGTAGTGTAATTATAACCTAAATTAGCTGAAAATAACACTAGAACCTAGAGTAAACTCTCTCTTTAAATAAGAACCTACGCTGATACTTACGTCTTTAGACCGATTTCCGCGACCTGTTGCTACTAGTGTCCCTATATACAGAGAGTTGCGCCATGACGAGTCGGAAAAAATCGGTCACGTGGTCGCTGGACGACATGTTTTTTCCAAATGGATACGCACGGCTATGGCCGTAAGAAAGTGTACAATTAAATTATCATATGGCGCGAACGATTTGAGTTACATTTCTAGAAATATAGATACACGTAGACACATGTCTTAGCTATAATCTCTGTAAATTTTGAGTTTATTGAAACACGATTAGTCTAATTAATTACTACGGACCATTGTTACAGCGCTGTACTTAAGCGGCAGCGGTGAGGATCCATTTGGAAACAAAATGGCGTCAAATCCTGAGTTGGCGCAACTCTCTGTATACAGGGACACTAGTTGCTACTATCGGAAGTACGAGGCACTGGGTCGGAAAGTGTGAGCGTTAGTATGTAGAAGCCTGGAAACACGTTATGTGGTTTATCACGCATCAGCCCCGAGTATGTCGTCGTCAAGGATCGTATACACATCGAAGCTGGCTTGCTGCAGGGTTAAGCACGTAATGAAGCCACGGCAAATTGTCAGAGCTACGTATTCTGCTTGCATCTATGACAAATACGACATACGCATATACGCTCTCCTATGACACTATTTGTCATAGGAAGAATCTTCCTATGACAAATACGACATACGCATATACGCTCTCCTATGACACTATTTGTCATAGGAAGATTCCTCCTAAAGTTGTCCTCCTCCTTGTCATGTGTGTGCGTGTGTGCGCGTGCCTGCGTGTGCGTACGTGTGTATGTGCGTGTGTGTGTAGTGTGTGTGTGTGCATGTGTGCGTGTGTGTATGTGTGAAGTGTGTGTGTGTGTGTGTGTGTGCGCGCGGGTGTCTGTATGTGTGTGGTCTATATGTGTGTTAAATGTTCTAATAGATGCAATCCAATAACTAACACTTGACACGATAACGCCTAACGATATCAAACGGATATTACATAGTCTGAAACAAGCTTCACTAAAAAAGCAACTGTGCGTGCCATAGCCGTATCTAAATATTACTTACTTAGTTGTGTACAAAGCATGTCGTGCGTAGGGCGAACGCAGTTCGCCATGCATTACGAAGCGTTAGAAAATTGTTTGCACAGTGAATACGAATGATCATGCTTAGGATGTGAGCGAGGTGTGGAAGATAGGCACCATTTCACGCATAGTCTCGTGGTATTACACTTCCTTATAGTCTTATAGTCTTTTGGTTCGCGCAATTTGATTTCAAATTGAAGACGTCTTACAATACCCATTCATGTTATTCATGAAAGCCACAATTCGCAATAATTATTACATCACGCTAGACGGTCGCCTGAAAAATAATCTGTCACGCAAAAGTAAATCCGTTAGTCATTCCTACCTTGGCTGCATCGTGATGGGTCACTTCAAGACAGTATCACAACCCTGTACTTTCTCAGGTATATAGATAGCAACCGACAATGACTTGCGCTGGTTAACGAACCTCTCAAACCGGCACCTCAGCAGCAACGTATCCTGTTCAGTGGAAGCTATGTCGTGTGTGGCTGCCGGGCGGCGTTGTAATATTGCTTTATACGGTACAGCCGTCCGGCGACGGTGACAGGCGTTGATTAATCTTTGTTTATCAGTGCCGTAATGACTGTCGCTGCCCTGCTTCCGTCTATATAGGCCATCGCCGCCTCGCACATTGCCACCGTGTTCTACCTCGAGACGATCCCTTGCGATTCCAGCTGCAGCAGCGAGCAGGTGAGCGGTGTGTCGCCTCTCTCCGTCCACTTTCGCTGCAATTTGCCACCTGAGACTCGCGCGCCGCCGCCGGTGACGTCATCGTCGGGCGCTCTGCCAATGAGCGGCGCCGCCAACGCGGAACCTGTCCGGAAGGAGGGATCGCTTGCTATTATCTGCTACTGCTTTCACTGCGACAAACTGGAGCAAATGCCAACGCGGCGACCACATTGCGCGTAGCAACGATACAATGGCGCTGCTTCGGACAAGGTCTACACGATGACCCCTCGCACAGACGCCGAAAAAACGGGCGTTTAGACGCGTGTGGCGGAGCTGATATTCTTCTTATTTACTCAGGTAAATAGGAGGGAATAATGCATCAAGGCAATAGTCGACGCGAGCTATTCTTACACTATTTTCTTACGCGGTGGAAAGGCGCACGTGAACCCTCATTTACCGACCACGGGTAGGGTCAGGCCCTATCGTCGGGATCTCGCGGATCGCACGAAGCAAAAATTTCACGCTAGATTTACCTCGCGTTCTGTGAAATAATAATCCTTCGCACAAAAGATTCAAAGCGGATTTTACATCAATGCAGCTACACGGATGTCAGGTCAACCGAATACCACCACCATACCACCCTCTAATAGCAACCATCGAAATTGTGTGATAAATTATCACTGTCGTGTTAGTATTAGTGGTATAGAAAGCAATCGAAGAGGTCAATCGAAGAAGTATTAACCACTGTTAATTAGGACAATTATAACTGATTAGGTGCGTCTGGGAATTTTTGGTCGAGACCGTGTGGTTGTGTTATACCCAGAGGGTGCCATTGGGTGAGGTAGCCGGCAAAAAAATCGTCGACAGCTATAAATCTATTTTTACTTGTTATTTTTGTTTCGGCTGAAAATTTCTGTCCATCTACTGATCAAGGATCGCAATAACGTTGATGTGTTACACTGAATGTGTTACACAGTCAGTGGCATTAATTTCGATGGTACCCATAACCTCGTCGAGATTAAATGCAACTATCCGCAACAGTTCAGGTCAGGTTAATCTACTCGTGCCTGGTCATGGGTAGCATATAACTTTACCGAAATATAAAAGTTAAACAAAAAATTAGTTTTATTCAATTTTACGATAATGTTTCAGTCGGTTCACTGTCGCACTAATTCTGTAGGACAACAAGGAAACGAAGGCATAGGGCGTGATTGAGTAAAGCGTACCTAGATAACCTGTTTAGAGCAGCTGGATTAAAACACGTTAGAATTTAATAAGCGTGTATGTGAATATACGTTTACAGGGATTAGATTTGAGAGGCTTGGCCTGAATAGTCGAACGAGATCAAGGACAGTACCGCAGGCATAGGCGAATTCTGTCTATAATTACCGCTGTCTGACATGTCTTTGCAATAAATGTGAATTTAATAAATCACAGCACGGATGTAATTCTCGCTCCCTCCTTGCTGTCACTATTACTCCTTTTCTGTGCTCTCATTCAATCATCTCTCCATCCTTTTTTCTTCGTCCTCTGAATTTCTCGTTCCTATTTACGCCATCTCTGCAATTTAACAGCGCGCTATCTCTAAATCTATAAGCCATAGAAAACCGATAAACTGACCTAAATGCTAGTTCGTGCAAACGAATCTGTCAATCTTCTTGTTATCCACATATCTTACTCACGCCACGCACGTCCAGCGCCAATGTCGCGACCTCTAGAGAGAGAGAGAGAGAGAGAGAGAGAGAGAGACAGCGCGCGCGAGAGAGAGGTTTGTGTGTTTGGAGGGACCAACAATTTTTAACAAAAATCAATTTTATGAAGACGAGACTATGACAATATACATCTGAGGCATTCAGTGCACGAACGTTTTATGTATGTATCTATAGCCGTTTACATACATTGTTTAGTTACGGGTATTACTGAAACCCGTACCAATCTTTAATCAAGCGTAAAAAACACGATGCACAATCAGACAAGTTTATATGTTGAGCATAGAATATTATTGTTTGCAGCTATCCGCACTATATGGTATGTCAGTTTAATTTAACACGTAAAACGGTTTCGGAATATTATTGCTCTACGAACCATAACACTATAGCATAGCATTTTGCGAAAGATATCTGCACAACCTACACTGTAACACATTAAGAGTATTCGTACTAATTGATCGCATGAATTTTACGTATATACAATAAAAAATATATCTTCATGCTGTAATATTATCATAACTGCATACCGTTTTCGCTGCTTCGCTCGTTTCGCTGGACTCAAAACGAAGCCAGCACAATATCACTCGTGGAACAATCTACGCGGCATTCTTATGCACAGCATTGCATGTGTCGCCGTGTCAAGAATGTCACCCGCGAGTGACTGTCACGCAGTTGAGAGCACCATAGGCGAGCAGGTACATGACAAATACGTGTACATGAATCTAAATTTTAATAGGTCGATCTAGCTCGTTGCGGCGCACTATATGGAGTAGGTCTCAGGCGCGACAAAGCCGGGGTCTGCTGATGGAATGGTACGGGGGGTTGTTGCGCTCGTGGGTACGACGGTTCATTCGAGGAAACGTACGACGGCACTCGAGATCGGTATCTTGCTGATCGTGGTGCGGTGTAACCTGTCTGTGCGGCTGCTGCGACGTAACCAGTTTGCTGGGGAGCGCTGTAGCTAAGCTGTTGGCTTGGAGGATAACTACTCCTGTGCGGCGCGGGAAGGTAATCGCGCTGCTGCTGCTGCTGCTGCGGTGTCTGGCGGTAACCGTTCTGATGCGTCGGACGGTATCCCCGCTGTGGCGCAGCGTGAACGCTCTGCTGCTGCGGAAGGTAGCCCGTCTCACGTGTCGCAGCGTACGCGCTCTGCTTTGGGGGAAGGTAGGATCTCTGCTGTGGTGCGGCGGAGATGCCCTGCTGTTGAAGCAATTGCCTCTGCTGTTGCCTCTGTTGCGATGCGGGATAACTGCTTTGCGCTATTGGCGGGTAGCGGGCTTGTGGCGTAGAACGGTAAGCGTTCTGCTGGGTGGGAAGATAGTTTCCTTGCTGGACTGGTGCATAGCTTGAAGTCGGCGAAGTCCTATAGTCTAACTGTTTTGCTGGAACGCGAGTTGCTTGCGGAGTTTCGTAGCTAGAACTGAGGTACGCGCCAGCTTTTTCCGCCTTGTCATCTTCGCTGTATTCCTTTCGCGATCTGTGTTTCTGGCCTTCGTCGAACGAATATCCCGACCCGCCGTATATGGCGCCACCTTTTCCGAACGGATAGATGTAGAACGGCTCGCCGATGCCGGCGAATCGTATCGGCATTGGTTCAAAGAACCGGTGCCCGTACGAGTACCCGTATCGGAATCCTTTATCCTGCTTGAATTCTTTGTCGTCCAGATCGTACTTCTTCGCCTTGTATCCCACACGGTACCCGCGCACGTCGTCCGGCTTTTGCGGAAGATAATCCTGGTCGACGTTGTAGGCAGTGGCGCCACCTGTTGTCTGATAGTGCGGCTGCGCGCGACTACGCCCGTAGGCGTTTCCACGGGCCCCGTGGCGGCCGCTAGAGGCGCGCGAGAACGGCGCGCCGTAGCGCTGCTGGTACGGCCGTCGTCCCGTGTCGGTGTGAGCGGTGACTCGACGAAATTCTGCGTACGGGTACGCGCTGCGCGCACTTGCAATCGGATCGTATCCCGGTGGGCTTTCTCCGCCTAGTGCGCCGAGTCTACCGACTTGCTGGCCCACGCCCGCTCTGCCGTACGTTCCGAGTTCTTGCTGTATGCCGGCTGCCCGTGATACACCACCCTCGGCTTGACAACCAATCTGAATATGTGCAACAAATGAGGCATTAGCATATGTAATGAGGGGCATTACTGTTTAGTTCTACACAAATCAGGGAAGAATTTAGAATGTAGTTAAAGAAATCATAGCAGTTAAACAGTCATTGCAGACCATGACCAATTCTAGGCTTGAGAAGCGTCCGCAGCGTGTAATAGTTACATTCACCTGGTGACGAAAATCGGGTCACATTTGCCGCGAAGACACTATATAGGTATAGGCAACTATACCGCCGCCAGCGTTGAAGAATTCGTGCGCAGTTTTTACACAGGCGCACTCGTGTCTCGCCACAACAGTGGCAGAACAACAGAGTGCGGCAAACAGCGAGACAATAGCGCTGTGAGGCGCTAAACGAGGAAATTCAAGATGATTTATGATTCGAAGAAAGAATCCCGACAGACGAGTCGATGGCAATTAAAATCCACCGCCGCCGGCCGAGGAGCATCTGATAAACAGCATCACCGTAGAATGTATCATGTTCCTCATTTGTTTCCGTACAGAGTAGTACGGCTTTACACGTATCTAAATAGCAGCGCTACCGGTGCTGGGTATTTCAGTTGATAACAACGCGCACGTTGCGCCAAAAGTTCGCGGCTTGTCATTTCACGTACAATTTCGCAGAGAGACGTTATTGAATCGCGCACGAAACATGCAAACCTGCTAAGCCTTGCCGTGGCTGAAAGGTCACGCCGCGAGCTGCCTGGTGCTTGTTGCTCGTGACGTTCGCACTGACGCAGGTCGATGCCCTAGATTTAATACGCAGCCGCGAGAGCTCTCAACTACCCGAAAATACTGAACGACGACGACTCATGGGAAATCGCAAATGAACATGCCCAAGTTGAGGACTTCATAACGGTTATTCTTCCCTGTGCGTATACTCGCGCGGCTACTGAATCTTAACCAGGTGTTAAATTTCAGGATGTTATTTTTTTAGTGTGAACGAATTATGTAAGCGGTAAGGACTGAGTGCACAGGATCTGCGCGAACATCAGCACTTGGCCTAATATTCACACGTTATGCGGTTAACATAACATTTGCTCGAATACTCGAAAATCACCAAGCACGCAGGTCGATCGCCGCCGGTGTGCAACAATAACAATATGGCGGAAAGAGTTCAGCACTCGTCATAATATGATGTTATATTTATGTGAGGTATTTACGCAGACGAGAGAATGCCGAGGTCGTCAACGCTGTGAGACGGGTGGGGTGCGAAGCAGGAAGCGACATGTAGCATTGCTCGTGACGCGCGTATAAATGCTGCGCGCACAAACGATCTGTATACAAAGATCTCGCGATAGCGGTTCTTGGAAGTTAACTATAGTTACTCTCAAACCCGTGCGGCAGTTCGTATTTCAATTAAAAAGAAGAGGTATATATGGCGATGAGGTATGAAGAAATGAGTAGATTGCTGTGTTATGATATGAAACGTCGAGAGACGATGTTGATATGCGCAAATGTACAGAAGCTATTGTTGCTGGCCTGGCAGTGCGACGAAACAGCATGCCCTTGAACCAACCAGAAATAACTTACCGTTACTAGTGCGAGCAGGAAGTTCCACGTGATGAGAGACCGCGTGCTCATGCTGCTACTGCAATAAAGAACGCGATAAAAGAATAATAACAAAATGTAACTGGAAATTTGTGGAAACAGCTGCGTTAAATACGAATATTACACAAAGCTATGTCTACCCGTGAACGTTGTCCAAAGCAGCCGGTGAGAAGTGAAATCTGCACATACACCCGCAGACGCCCACGTACACGCACACGCACGGAAACGCACTCACGCGAATCTATACACCTGCCCCCACGCACACACACATACACACATACATACACACAGACAGACACACACACACACACATACACACACATACACACATACA